TTTCATCAACAGTTTTATCACTAATCGTATCTTCGAGATTATAACTTTTTAAGTTATATTTTTCTTGTTCCCATTCCTCTTGAAATTCTTTATTTGGTTTTTTACGATGCCAATTTACAATAACATCAACCATTTTATTTTCTTGGTTTTCATTTGTATTTAATTTAATGTTATTTATTGAATCACTTGTGTTGAATAATTCTTCTTTTGTTTCTTTTGTTTTAATTAATGATGAGTTTGGTATTAATTTTTCTTCTTCATTATCACTTTTATTATCATTATGTATTAATGATTTAGGTTCATTTGGTAATTCAATTGGATAATGATTAATCATTTCTTCAAATGATTTGGTTTTACTTGTTTTATTATCTTCAAGTAAATAAGGTATTTCTACTTTATTATATAAAGTTTCTTTTTTATCAAAGTCTTGAGAAGGAATTGGTGGAGCAGTTAATGTAGGATTTTGTTGATTTTCTTTTTCTTCTTGTTGAGGTTGGTTGGTATTAATTTCAATATAAGAATCTAAGATATTATCAACTCCAACATTAAATTCTTCTTTTATTTCTTTTATATTTTCATCATTGTTACTAAAAAGAACAGGACAATAAGAAAATCGTTTTAAAGAACTTTTAAATGTATTAGGTTCGATTTTACTTTTTGTCAATTCATTTTGAGGATTGTTGATATCAATGTCATATTCATTTTGAACATAACTCATAGCTATATTAGTTGCTAAGTCTTGAGACGTTAGTTTATCTTCAATATTAGCTTCATTATTATGACCATTAACCTCTTCAAGTTTATCAAAGATTGAATCTATTCTTTTTGGATCAACACTTAATTTCTTCTTTTCATTTTTTTCATTATCCTCTTTCTTATTTGGTTGTTTAATTTTGTTTTCTTCATTCTTTTGATCAATATTTTCTATTAATTGTGCATATGTATCAATAACACTATCAACTGTTTCTTCTCGATGTTTTCTTACTGCTTCTTGTTTTTTTACTGAGAAACGACTTCTTTGTTGTTCAGTCATTTGTTATTTTTTTAAGTTCATTTCTTTTCTTTTTTCTTTTTTTATGAAAAACAAAATGTTAGAAAAAAACATTTTTTTTCTTTATTTTTCTATTGTTTCTGTTTCTTCCATTTTTTTATTTTCTAGTAAACTAATCCTTTGGCTATTTTCTATATAGTTGAATTTTTGGAAACAACAAGCAGTAATAGATGGTTTTTATTGTATAATTATAATATTTCACTTATTTATAAATTGTTTATTGTTTTTCTTTATTATTTCATTCTAAATTCTCTTTTTTTTTCAATATCTATATATAAATAATAATACAATAAATTCAAGAGTTTATACAAAGAAATTCATTGAAGATATAATAAAGTATATAGAAACTATAAACAACGATAATGAAATAATAATCTTTTCATTAATTAATATCATAGTTATTAATAATTTGTTCTCAAACAAATAAAGTAAAAAAGAAATTCAAACAATATAAAAATAATTACAATAATTCAATTAGATAGTACAATCAATATAAAAAAATAAAGAATATGTTAAATAGAGAGTTTCACGATGATAAAATAATAATAAATGAATAAAGAATAGAAATAATAAGAAGAAT